CTTATCAGTGAGAATGTAATGGAACAGTCCTAAAGCTTTCAAATAATGAATAATAGTTACTAATGGATTTTTTAACCAACTTTAGGATTCGACAGCATAATACCCAGTATCATTTTAAAAAATAAGAAAAATATTTTTCTATCATGTTATATAGATTTTATTTAGAATAATTTCTACAGACCCTACTCCATTCCTGTCTTATTGAATTCTATAGGGCCACTCCATACTAGAATGCAGTATATTTACATCTGAACATCTTATTCCTTTTGTATAATGTAAAACATTGTGTCTCCACTTTTATGCTGGTTCAATAATCATATTTAATTTCAAGAGGGCTCAGGGTTTTCAAGCTCTTTGTGTGCGTTCTTCTAGCCCTCTCTATCTTCAGAGTAAAGCAGTTCTGGTTTCTGCACCCTGTCAGATGTAACCTTAGTGCTAATTTGGGAAAAGCAGTTCTCACATTCAGTGCTGAGACTGATAACTGAATCCACAAAGGAATGACACATTTTCAGCGATGAAGTACAGGGTCTGTGGACAATGGCTGTGCTTTCCCACTGCATAAATCCTCCTGAGTCAGCTGTCGCTGTGTGAATCTACTGTACAAAACCAGCTTTTACTTGCATGGTTGGACTTTATTTCAGCAAGGCCATCACAATGAAAGAAGGTGCTGTAATATCCTTAACAGTAATCTGTTAGATAGTAAGATACTGTCATGGCAGATACTATCGCTATAATCAGGAAGAAGACCTTTGCCTTGAACTTGAATGTTCTCTGAAGTCCAGAAATCCTGTCTATTATCCAAATAAATATTTCTGGCTTAACAGCAAGACCTGACAGCAGAAACAATATCCATTAGATCTGAAGCTGTTCTCATTATAGTCCAAGGAGTTTTGCTACTAATTTTAATGGGTAAAGAATCAAATTCTGTGTCTTTTGACATTTTTATTTTATTTATTTCTTACTTGCATTACAAAAAGCTCCTTGAATGCTTAGTCAGGATCAATAGTGTTGGCTATTCTATATAATGTCTCTATTTGAATATAAGGTTACTCAATAAAAAACAACTCCCCAATAATTAAATAATACATATGGAAAAATTACAAATGTGTATAATTTTCCAGGTATAGAATCTAATTATTGGAGGTTTGCCTTGAATTTGTCTCCCTCCCATTGCTACAGCTGGGAAAAATATCTGAGGGGTCAGGTGGTCTCCTTCCCCAATTCTCTCCAACTTCTTCCCTCTGCAGCCTCTCCCTCTGTCAAACCATGCTCTCCCTGAGCACATGGAAGTTAGGGGTAAATTTAAAAATACTGACTTTGAAATAAACATGCCTATAGTCATTTGCATATAGACAAATGACTATGGGTACCCATAGACTTAGTTCATCTCAGATTGATGTATTTGACATTTTTTGAAACTGCTGCAAGTTTTAGCACAGGTGCTCCAAACACACCTTTTTAAGCAGCAACTTAATATAATAAGTGGGTTGCTGCTTTAAAGTGTGTGTTTGGAGCACCTGTGCTAAAACTTGCAGCAGTTTCAAAAAATGTTGAATACATCAATTTGGGATGAACTAAGTCTATGGGTACCCATAGTCATTTGCCTATATGGAGGCAAATGAGGCTAGGCCCCAGCAGACAACAATGTTTCAAGCCACAGTGATCCCACAGCTCCCACATTGCTTAGTAGGTGTGTATATACTCCAGATACCCCCACAAAACATCCATGTGCTAATTAGCTCTCCAAACATGACTGGAACTGGGAGTTCTTGTCATAAGGCCTGGGATGTTTCAAAACTTTATATGCAGATGAGGCATGGGGTGACCTGGACTGGCTCCACTTCATGGATGGCAACCAGCTGAGAGAGGGAGCGACATAGGGATTCTGGGTGAACAGCTTGGGACCCCATTTTGTGATGTTTGCCAGACACTGAAAGCTCATAAGGAAATGGGAATGGGGAAGAAAGGTGAAGCTCAGCTGTGGGAGTGAAGAGGAAGCTGGAAAGTATTCATTGTAGTAGCCCACCATGACTTGAAAAAGAATCTGTGCTGAGGGAGACTGAGCTGAATGAGCACTAGTATATATCTTATTTCGATGGGCTGCACTGACTTTGGGAATATCTGAAGCCCCAGGCTGAAGAGTCTGGGGAGTCATATACTTGCCAGTGGTAGTACCACATGGACCAGAATGGCTGAACTCTGCTCAGCTGATGGAATTTAAAATTGATTTGGCTCATTTGGCCTGAGACATGAAATTGGGATGGGGGGGGGGAGGAGTTTTGGTAGGTTTCCATCAGTATATTTGCCCAATATGGGCCTTGTGTTTCATAGTCATGCTCAGTTTGCTCCATTTAATTAACTTCATAGTTGGTTTCTAATTTTGAGCATATGCTGCTTCTGGCAGCAGTATAATGATAGACAACACTTTTAATGAGGTTTCCTTGTATTTGAATATAAGACAAGGAGCTTTTTTCTTCATGTTGATTGGGTGAAAAAAAACTCTTCTTTGAGTAAGTATCGTAGTTCAAATAAAAGATAAATTATTTCCTCCAAAGATCTTTAAGATCTGACCACAAGATAGTAAAATGTTGACAAGTAATAGCCAATAAAAAGTAAACTCTCTAAAGGGAAACTATTTTTGTACTTGAAAAGTCTAGGTCTGCATTTTTGCAACTGCACTGAACTCTGAATGCAAACAGGGATACCTGGACCTCACTGCAAATGTAAATAAGGCATGGAGAGTGTAAAATATATGAATGTCAAACTTCTGATGGATTCAGAAATGTGTGCGCCAGTGGGTTCAACTTACTCCTACAGAGTAAGCTCTAATCTTTAGAAGAAAATATATTATGAATTCCTATTTAATGGCATGAAACATGTGAGCTCACTGGGGACTTGTCTATGCTGCATTCCTGGTACTGTCTGAAGTCCCATCCCCCCAGTCTCATTCCCAGGTCTCCAGCATACTTCAGAACAGCCATGGAAGCACCCCCACCCACCATTTCTGAAGTAGTTCATCACTGTATTTCTGTATTTAGCACATGACAGTGGAAGCAGGTGGGTTGGGTGTGCTTGAGAGTGGGTGGAACAGCAGTAGCACAATATAGACATACAGCGTATAACAGGTGGGCAAAATACAACCTACAGGCTGGATCCAGACTGCCAACTCATGGACGTGGTGCCAGATGGGTGGGTGGGCAGGGGTCTTTCCACTGTGCTATACAGGCAGGCAGGACTGCTTCCACCCAGCACTAATATGGCATCATTAGTTGTGGACATAGGACCCCAACCCCCACCTGAAACCTGTCAGGCACATCCACAACAGATGGTGAAGTCAACCTGGGGTTTCTTTCGCTGCACTGGGCAGGTGGTGGCATGAGCTGCAGACCACAGGTGATATGTTGATGAGAGGGACACAGGGAGGCATATGCCCCTCAGATTTCTGTGCCAATGGCAGGGTGTGGAGCTGCAGCCCATCTGGACCCAGCTCTTGGCAGCAGCAGGGGCAGCAACAGTGGTGAAGAGTTGTACCTCCCACCCCCACTATCACTTATGCTGTTATTTAAATTGTTATTTATAATTGTTACTTAAAAGGATTTAAATCAGGAATTAGGGATGGGTGGGCATGGCATGCTCCAGAGTAGGGAAATCTTAGAGAAACCCCCATTACTTCAAAGCAGTGAACAGAATGGTTGAGGGTGTTTCCTCTGGCATCTCTAAACCAATAATGGTGGATGCACGGAGGGTACTGGATAGGGGCCAGATAACACCAGATATATCTGGTTCAGTGCTCTCCCTCTAGCATCAACTTCTGCCAGTGTTGGAAAAAGGAGACTGGACTACATGGACCATTCATCTGACCCATTTCTCATAGTCTCATTTTTAGTGATTCTCAAGTGGGGTGATGGGGTACTCTGGGGTGCCGCAAACTCCTTTAACAGGTGATGCAGGAAGTGTCAGTAAAAAAGCAAGGTGAGAAAGAGATAAGCAGATAAGGGCAGGGTTAAGTTTCAGATGTGAGGAGATAAACAGATATGGCAGATTCAGACTCTCCCTGCCTGCCTGTTTCCCCATGTCCACTGCCTTGCTCCTCTGCAAAGAGGTAAGCACTGTAATAAAAAAGTTAGTTTTTGAAATGGAGTGCCACTCAATTCACAAAAGGTATGAAAGGCTGCCTCCAGTCTAACAAGGGGTGTCTTGAGTCTAACATTCTTGAGAACCACTTCTTTAAATGAATCATCAAAACCAGTCATCACGGATCAGCCTTGTAGAAATATGAAGGCAAGCAGATGTTCTTGCAGAAAAATGACCACACATTTGTGCACCCAGTTTTTTGATCTAAATCAGTGGAAATTTTGATGACTGCTGAAGCTGGGCCAATCCTTTGTATAGCAACACATGCATTTTGATGACACGTGCCTGCTCGGTGGTTGCACCTGTTAGGCAGTTATGGATCTGACCACACATAAGAAATAGAAGTTACTGCAAACTGTGATTTTACATAAAGGAAGCAAGTCCTACATTACCCAAGACTCCTTTGTTAGTCCACAATATTGGGAGTTAGGGCATGCTTTACATGTTCCTGGTGTCTACTTTTCTTTTTTCCTGAAGGCCAATGTCAAATATTGTAATATATTGTATAACTCCTGAAAGCTTTCACTCTGGCCTCTGTCCTTAGACTCCTGTCAGTCATTTCTCAAAAGCAGACATCCTGCTTTACTTACGGAGTTCAAAATCTGTTATTGCGATACAATGTTGCTTTAGGTGCAATATGTGGATATGTTTTAAATTTAATCACACTCCACAAATCTCATTGTAATTAAAAACAAATATGCTCCATTATAAATCACTTTTGATTAGTTTAACTAGTTTAAGGCAAAGTTCTGCTCCAAATAAAAGAGAAATGTGGTCCATGAATGTTGCTAGAAGGAAACTGTTTCTGGTATGCAACTTTATAGGCTGAACAAACATAACACTGGATACATGTACATCATGCATACCATTTAACCACCGAGAATCATGCTGCTCTGTCCTGATTGGATGATGGTGGCCCAGAGTTCGGAAAATGGCAAAATCTCGACCCATGAAGTCTGCCGCTGTCCCAGAGTACAACTCTCCATCTGGAGGATGAAATGAGATCATTGTAAGGATTCTGTCAGGACAGGAGCAAATATTTATCCACTGATGACAACTCTAAGGACCCTCAAGACCATAAGACTTAACTAAAAGACATGGAATTTAAAATTCATAAATAAATACATTCTGGGTTCTTTTGTCTTCTCGTTTCTGACGTACTCCGGTCACATTTTGAGGATCGTTTTCACAATCAGAGGGGCCGGCAAATTCAATTTTTGGAACCAAAGTTACTATTGTCACCTAATGACTTGCCTCCAAAAGCTGGGTCAGTTAAGAAAGTTATCAAATATTACATGATAAATAGAAAGCATGGCAACTATGTTTTCTGTTATACTCATGCATATATGGACCAGAATGAGATAACTGTATAATGCAGTAAAACTTATTCTCCTTATTGAATATACGACCATACAGTACCAGCTTTTATACTGTGGTACTGATTTTTATTTCAGACATACTTCTGTATTTGTCCCTCTGACCTGCACAATCAGACATTTAAAAAATTTTAGACCCAGTTTCTCAAGTCAGTACGCTAGTAGTTTATATCCACTTTGCACAGGCATAAATGTTTACAAGGAACTGGCCAGTGGAAAAGTAATGCTTATGGGTTCCCAGATTAGGAGGCCTTTCCTTAAATTCTTCAGATGTGAACTGCTAGGCACAAAATCCTTTAGGAGTGACTTCCTGAGTACCATTTGCAGTGTAGGGGCAGAACATGGCTTTTCTCTTTCTGTCAATGTTTGTGCTTCTTATGGTGGCACGAGCAGCTCTTAGAAGGCTGTGGAGAAGGGGGAAAATGCTCTCCATAAGTAGCATGCAGGCAACCATGTCTGAGATGCAACTCACAGAATAATATAGTCCTGCATATGGCACTGCTGACTCAATCAGAAAGGCCAAAGAGGACACAGGATAATGCGGTCCTACTTCCAAAGACCAGGCGCAAGTCCCAAGATAGATCCCTGCATTTTGGCACTAGTCACTGTAATGCTAGACCACTTGATGAATAGGGGAATTCCATAAGAAGGAATTAGATATACAATGATCAGATCCATAAAAAGTTTCAAGAGGTCAGATGGGTAGAGCCAGATTATGGTGTCAGTTTTCTTGGTGCAAATGCACTTACTCCATACAGATATTCTGGTTTTAGGGAGCTGAAATTGCACTTTGAGGTGAAGTTGCACTTTTGCATCCTTTCATTGCTGCATCTCAAATCAGAACTAGCATATTATCTCCCTTATATATCACCATTCCTATGATCATTCCTATTGCTGGGGATCTTTATGTATCTAACTTAAAAGAACTGCCAGTGAGAAGGGTACCTGAGCAAAAAACAACTGGTTTCTGAAGCTCAGGTAATAGATTCTGCATGGCCAGAATGAATCCCACCACAATCTGATTTTACAACACATTTTGGAAACAAGCTTATGATTTTCATGCCAATTTTAGACATTTCCATGGTAGGACAGCCATGTCCAAATACGCCTTTTGGAAAACACTGTCATCTCTTCCCTGAAATACTGACAGCATAGAATTATCAATTGAACCTACAGTGACTCTGTACCATATGGTAGTCATGAAAGTCAGGAAGGGTGAAAACATGATAGCAGAAAGGCGTGGAATTGAATGAATTCACAGTAGAGATTAGAAGCAAATAGACCAGTCATGCCCAGCGGGAGGTGTAATCAGAAGCGAAACAGAACAGCATATCATTAATTAACGTTTTATCATTCTTCTGTGTCATTTTCAACTGCTTTTTAAAAGGGAGACAATCACTTAATTATAGTCCTTATTATGTACAGCATATGAGGCTGAGATTTTAAAGAGCATCAACCCTTTTAGCTTGTGAAAATGTCTTTGATGCTCCTCTTAACCTTTTTTTAACCTTACGCTCATTTTCTTGCCTTCCACTCCCATGTGAGTCAGGATAAATCAATATGAATCAAGGGACAAGCAACAAGCACCATTTTTATTTCTTAGCTGTCAACAGATGGGAAGGTCATTAAAGAAAAGCAAGGTTCCAGCTATAATAATAGATTATTGAAATTAAGCAAATAGTGCAGCAATTAATTGAGATTCCATTTAGGGTCTCTCTGCACTTTACAGTATCACTTCACAAATGAAGTGCTATGAAAAGCTACAGAGGTGCACCAAGAAAGGAAAGAAACATTGGCTAGAGGCACAAATTATATATAAAACAGTATTAGTTATCGAAAACCAGTCTACACCTGTAACAGAACAGAAGTTCAGCACACATAGATCAGTTTCAAAATGGCTGCACCTGATTTAAGATAGACTTGGATGGATGTAGCATCACACTGAATCGCTTCAGGTTAGACTAGTCTATCAAACTTCTATCCCAGATCCGCTCCTGAAACAAGTTACTTTGCAGTCTCCTAGAATCCCAGGATGCCCTGCTAGGCCCTCTTAACAGGGCAGCCTGCTGGACCACGGGTCATACTCTGCTGCTCCAGCCAAGCACCTAGCTGGCCCCACGTCCAGACTCTCACAGAGTTGAGGCAACAAACCTTCTGCCTCTGCTTCCCAGCCTGCATCCTGTCTGCAATTGCCTGTGGGGCAGCAGAGAGGAGGGGGTAGGCAGGAGATAAAAGCCCCCAAGTCATGGCCCCAGGTCCCCTGAATCCTGGTCTGCCCAGCCATAGGAGCAAAGGGGGATCCCCTCCCCTCTCCCCTGCACAGTCAGACAGACCAGGGCTTGGGGGACCCCAGCCCAGGGTGGGGGAAACCCCCTGAAGTCTAGTCTAACCTAAAATGATTCAGTGTGATGCTACCTCCATTCAAGTCTATCTTAAAGTGTGCGTCTCCCCCTACATGGGCAGACGTCCAACTGCAGGAGCCAGCCCCTGGATGGGAGGCTCCTTCCCTTCACTGCAGGGGGACAGCAAGGGGGGAGGGGGTGCTGGGCAGCCAATCAGGGATGTTCCCCATCAATACCGGCAGGTTGGGAGGTTTGTTCTAGTGCCCCTTTCTGGCCTGTGCCGGTCCAGACATGTGGCTGTCTGTTTTAACTGAAAAGTGAAAGTCAGTTCAGTTGTTTGTCCAATCTATGCAACTTTTTCACCTCTGGCTTTTTGACAGTTTTTACTTAGCCATGGTTTTCTGGTTTGCACCAGCATATAATGTAACAACTTCATATTGGCTAGGTACCAACATTCATAAAGCCTGAGGCCGAATCCATCTAAGTTACGTGGTTTTCTGTAAGCAGGGTAGTTTAGATCAGTAGCAAACAAAATATATGTTCGCCCCTTGGTTGGGAGGGGGGTGGGCAAACCTTAGACTGGGTTCTGCCATTCTTAAACTAGTCTCCTTGTGCTGAACTTCTGTTCTGGGTATAGACGGGAAGCCTGGTGCTGCTGGTGGCCCCAGCAGCAGTCTGCTGTCATCCCACATGACAATCTGGGGGCCCACACCCCATAGGAGGAGTCTGGCACAGCTCCGCAGCCCTCCTGGGGGGCACAGGCCCCTGGATCTCTGTGTGGGGTGAAAACAGGCTTTTGCTGCTGGCTGGGGCCAGTGCCACCACTGGGTTCTTTCCAGCACTCGGCACAGGCTGTGCTGGGCAGACTCGGGTGCTGGTGCTGGCACTGGCCCCAGCCAGCGGTGGCAGCCTGCTGTCCTCCTGCATGCAGATCCAGGAGCCTGCAACCCCTGGGAAGAGTCTGGCACAGCCCTGCAGCCCTCCCAAGGGGCGCAGTCTCCCAGATCTGCACATGGGATGACATCAGGCTGCCGCTGCCAGCAAGTGGTATGAGTTTTCCGTTGAAAGGTTTGAGGTGCAGTTTCCCAAACCCCCCTGAACCTATCTTCTTGAAGCTCGGCAGACATCATGCCCTCAGAAGGGTCTACCATCCCTCCAATTTTCATCTGAATCAGTCATGAAATGACAAAGGTGTAGGCATTTTCATGATTCCCCATTATAGCCTATGAGCAAAACGTCGAACCGTGTCAAAACAGTAAAACAGTTTTGACGAAACGAAATGGAAGAGTACTTCAAACTGAAACGAAATGACAAAATGAAACACTGTCCCTTCAAAATGGCAAAATGGAAGTTGAAATGAAACGGTGCTGTTTCGCACAACCCTAATGACTATTAAAGCACACAATTTGTTTTTTTCCCCCCTCATTGTTAGCTTTTTGAAAGGAACAATCTTCCTTGGTGCACTGAAGGAACAAAACTGTTCACTGAACCTTAAGTGTATAGTCCAGAATTCTTTAGCTACCAAAACAGCTAAAAATAAATAATTTTAATGTATTTTCGGTATTTTTTGTCTTTAGCGCTTAAGGAAGAAGAGTTGTTGAATTCCTGAGGAGTACTTGCTTTAAGGTGTTGCAAACGTTGACAAAGCAGAGGATGAAAGCAAAACCAAGGCTAAACTGTGCAAGTTGTTATCATGGGTAAGAAGTATGCTACAGTGAATTATGATTCCAGATAGGCAGATAATTCTGTCACACTACTAGGAAAACTGGATAGTTCGTGTGCATCAACAGCAAATTTTGCATTGAATTTAATGAAAAAAGTTAAGACAAGCAATAAGGCTCAGATCCTTATGCAGCCTACTTTTCATTGATAGGAGGGACTGAAATTATCCTTATGCAGATAACTAGAACCCTTTAAATCTCATTAACACCCATTTTGGAATTTTAAGGAACTTTCACAATCTTGGTTGTATTGCTTACACTTGGACATAGGACACCTTAACATCTGTAAAGACCTAAACACTTTTTAAAAGTTCCTGGTACAAGGAACAAATGAAAATCAGCAGTTCTGGGGGTGTTTAACTCATTGAAGCTCTTTGGAAAATGATCGTCTCCTACTAACAATCAGCTGATTATTTGTCTTGTGACTGTTCCATTTGGAATCCACGGTGCCTTTCATTTTCTCTCCTGGCCTGAAACAGATGCCGGCAG